TGTGTGTGTGTGTGTGTGTGTGTGTGTGTGTGTGTGTGTGTGTGTGTGTGTGTGTGTGTGTAAACGAGCATGACAGAAAGTGAGAAATTACAAATGTCATTATTTTAGGAGGTGAATGAAACACTTGCTCAGATACATGAAGGAGAAATGAACAGATGCTAGTTCCACTCGATCAAACAGAGAAAGAAGAGGGCGATCAAAGTGACATTCATGAGGAGTCGGAGAACTTGAAGACGTTAGTAGATAAATCTGCTGCAGTCTGCATTTAGGCATGTTTATCATTGAGACAATTAATGAGATGCTCTGTGCTTTAATCTTCAGGACATTTAGTTTAGAAGAAAATGTTGTGTTAAAGTGCTGAGACTTGGTTTTAATTTGAGAAGGTGTTCCTCAATATTTGAAGAACTGTTGAGGAGGTCCAAAAAAAGTTGTTCGGCTGCTACATGTTTCTTGAACAGCTTGTTATATGTTAATGTATAATAAAACTAGAAAAGGGCAAATAACATAGAAAACTGATCAGCATCAGCACTTTTTTCTGTAAGAATATTTTAAATTTATCAGAACAGAAATTTGTTTTTCTTGTGGATGCAAGAACTAGCCATTTCAAAGAAAATGTTAAGGATATTTCTCACTTTTTAATTTCTTACTTCTCTTTTATTTATTGATGAAATGGGGAAAGAAAACCCAGTTGGTTGAAAAACAATGGGATTATAATAGAAAGCTACAATACTTTAGGCCAGAAAGGTGATAGAAAGTGTACCAGTTAATAGATAGGGGGACTTTCTCACTTACAGCCAGCACTGAGTGTTTAGAAGAAAAAGGAACTGGGATATTTTTCAAGATTTTCTCAGTAAGCACATCCATAGACTCTCTTGTTCCTGTGGCTTCAAAGACTGAGAGACATATAAGGAGCTATCTGAGCTGTTTGATGAGCCCACAGCTTACGAGCTTAGTGTCACAGATGAAAGTACACACACATGTGCACACATAGTTTAGGCCACTTCGGTGCTTGTGAAGTACAGACTGCCGTGCTTATGATGCTGTATCAAAGCCAGAACCACCCTCTGTGGAAGATGTGAGACACATCCTACAATCTGAGAAGATGAAAATCCTGTTTGCTAGAGTTATGAGCCATAGGCAGATGATTTTGGCTTGCATGTAATTTGTGGCTAATGCCATAATATTTTAATAGACCTCTAAAAAAAAGACCTGTTAACATGACAGATTGAACCTCATTCATTTATTAACGAGGTTCAATTTTACACAGATGAAATTTAAAATAAATAAATGTTTTTCTGTATGGTTACAGACCAGAATGAATTACTCTCAAAATATAAATGACAGGAGGTAGAGAAAAAGTGTTTATCCACAACTGTGCAAATGATGCACAAAAAAAGAACAGCTGAATGTTTTTAGCGTACTAACGTGTTATTAATACAAAACAGAGATGCAGATACAGATCAGGGTCAGGTATGGTAGGAGGAGCTGGAGGCCACTGCAGCTGTCATGGAGCAAGAAACGGTCACAACCTGGACACTAGTCACTATTCTGTTCATTCATACTATGGCTAATTTAGAATGGCCAGTTAACCTAACCCACACATGTTTTTTGGACATGCTAATACAAGACAGAAAGACCCGAATCTGGATTTGAACCCAGGACCTTCTTCCTGTATGGCAGCACTGCTAATTACACATCTGTGTTGCCCACGTTAATAACCCTGATTTTTTTTTTTTTAATGTCAGTGGGTATATTAGTACATATTGGGGTTTGCGTGCATGTGGATGTGTCCTGTTTCTCCCTGAACTCAGCTGTCATCCATTTCCCTTGGAGGAACTCAGCAATTAGCCACTCAACACTATAAACGCTGGTGTTAAGCGGTTTGGTCTCAGTGTGTGGGCCAGCCCTGAGAGTGGTGAGTTGTAGTAGTGTCTTTGGCCGGAGATTTGACTGTCAGATTAGTGGTTCTTTGGAGCTTTTACTGAGTACCTAATATCTGTCGAAAGCAATTTTTTTCTCTATTAACTTGTTTGTTAACAATCTCTTTTCAGTGTATTTTAGTTTGTGGTTGTCGTTTGTTTGGTGTGTATACCGGTGTAGCTCTCTCTTTCAGCTCTATTCTTTTAAATGAAAACCACATTTTCATGGGCTACTCTTTTTCTTTTCTCAGTTTCTTTTCCCCTGTTGTTACTCCCCTCATCCCTTAGGCTTTTGAGGAACTTAATTTGGGGGGGTCATCCGGGATAATAATTATATTTCAGCTTCAAGCAAAAGTATACACCTACTCTATAAACAGTAAAATGGTATGGAAATTGCTTGAATTACTAAACAGTTTAAATAGTATCTCCATTAAATCCTTTAAATTAAAACTGAAACAGAAATCAAAATTCAGCTGCTGGTATGCATCTGGGGAGAGCAAGTTACTGAAATCACTCATAGGAAATTTAAATAGACCAGCTTGTTGTTGATTGGAGTGTGGAAGTGAGCAACCAATCATGGGCTGGAAGACTCCTGCAGGCAGCCAGATCAACGAGTGAATCATCACAGTTCACAAAGCTGCATAGAAGAGAGCCATTAAATGACATCAAGTACTGCAGATGCACATGCTCCAGCCTTTCTCAAGCTCTTCACCCAGTTTTTTAAGTTTGAGTTTTATGCCTCCGTTGAGCAAAGCCTGAGTAAAACTATAGTGATATATTTTAGACGAATGAGTCTATGTTGTATCTGCCTTTTTGATGCACACAAAGTCAGCTATGTTTGGACTAATACCGTCTTCCAGTCTATTTAGAGTCTACTTGGAGGGCAAATGCAAAGTTGTTACCCCAGTAGTGTGGCATGTGCTGACAAATCTGTGCTCTCTCAGTAAATCGGACAGCCTTGCATTTACCCTTAATCATCCTTTGATTCACCCTCAAGTCACTTCTACCCATGTGGGCATACACATGGGCTGTGGAAAGTGTGCAACTAGGGTAACCTAACACTTTAATCTACTGAAGCACTACATCTGGATATACTGATAATAACCATGTCTGATTAAGCAAAAAGAACGACCACAAATAGATGCAACTTGAAGCAAATTCTACACCGAGTTCAAATATTTCTGTTCTCACTTCATAGGGTCATTAAGAAAAACAATAAATAAAACCTTTATGCACAAAAAAACCTGAATATACAAATATAGGTTACAGGTTCTGATCAGCGATTTAAATTACAGATTTAGACACCGTCTGTTACTATGGCTATAAAGTTCAACATCTACAGTTTGTTTCACTGCTAGATTATGATTTTTTTAAGGTAGTTTGACTGACATGGAGTTAGCAGGTGATCACCAAATTACTGACAAGAGCGTAAGAAAACTCATCAAAAGTGGGAGGACACAGCTTGGTACAGATTATGCCCCCTAAACGCCTGTAGAGAAGACTCAGCTGGTATATCATTACACATAATCAGAAGTGTTTCTCAAAACAGTAAGGCCCTGAATAATCTATTAAGAAATCAACCAAAAACTTTTTGTCATTTTATACCTTAATCTTATCAAGTAATGGAGAGACTGAAAAGGCAGAATTCATTTTAAAAGTTTCTTTTTGTACTCACAAATTTACATTTTAAATAATATATTTTTTGAGAATGCACTGCAAATAAAAAAGAACAAACATTGGTTTATATTTCTCATTAACTATTTAAGGGTACTCCTATTTTAGAAGTCGGGAAATTAATGACAGCCAAACTATATTCTCAAAACAATATTCCAGTTGTCCCATTTACATACTATGAATAATGTTTATGTTAGTGATGGCCATGCCTCCTGGAGACCATAGCCTGTAGAAGCAATGGGAGTGATATTCCTAAATAGCAAACAGCTATGAAGAAATCATTGGCGATTATCTCTAGGGTATCCAGTTCTCTCTCTAAGAATAATTACATAAAGACTTCCTCAGTGATCTTGCAGCATAATTTCCTCACTAGTTCAACTGGCATTTTGCTGCAGTAACAACAGATGGCAAAACACTGCATTATATGTACCCCTAATTGCTAAACTTGTTGAAGCCTTGTTTGTTAGGAGGCAGCTTTGAGGAAACTGTGTCCCCCTTTCAGCAGTGCCCTGTGTTAGATTTATGCAGCTAGCATTTTCACACCTGGCAGCTGTCAAATAAAACCACAGTTTTCTAAAACCGTCTCCTGAAAAACTCCCCTTGAGCAGTTAGGGAACTACTGCATAGCTCCAGGGCATCTCTACAACAGTTACTGGGCAAACTTTCATGGTTTCTTTTTTTTCCCCCAAACAGAACTCCATGGCAACTAGGATACAATCAACACCAATTAATACGTGTCAGCGAAGCACAAAATATAAATTATGTAAATATAAATAAACCGACATGCACTAATCAAAATGAAAAATGTAACATGGGCACAGCACTCGTGTGTTTTTTTTGTTCTCACCTCTGGCGTCAGACCATTGTTATCTGTTGTTTGGCTGGAGAGCAGGACATGCGTGAAGCCCTCTTCCTTCCTGACCACAATGTCTCGAAATCGACAATTGCTCTCGTTCTGTCGCACGTTGTACCTGAGACGCTTGTCAAAAACGTAGCCTTTCTCCTCAGCCAGCTTCCGCTTCACTGAGCTGTGTAGGTGCATCTTCCCATTGGCTAAAGGTGAGCCTGATTCATACAAGAAGTGACAGAACAGGTCAGTCTGTCTTCTAGAACGTTTTAAAATAATTGACAGCAACTGAAAGAAAAGAAAAAATCTATTACAGTTGGCTATTGCAATTATTGCTATTGCAATTACAAAGTGCTTCCAAATCCAAGTTTAAGGGTGAAATATATTTTTTAAGAAAGAGCATTAAAAAAAGGGACTTTGATTTGCACTTCGCACAGAGAAATTATTCGATAAATATTAGTTTGGTTAGACTGCGGACCTTTTAAAAGCGTCCGCTGAGACTGAAGAAGTGACTTGGATGAGTGACGAAATGTTTCTTCCACTGAAAACGTTACATTCAGATGAATATAATCAACTTTTTGGGATTTCCTTACCTGGATGATTGAGCAAGCATTAAGATACAGTAGTTCATCTTTTGGATTGGATCACATGTGCCAGCCTTTGCTCCCCATGTGTGAGTGAGCCTTGGCCACCCATGACCCTATCATTGGTTCACCACAGTTTCGTTCTTGGATCACTTTTCTTGCATTTTGACCACTGCAGACTGGGAAAACCCCATAACCCCAGTTTTAGAGAATCTCTGACCCAGTTAGTCTAACAATCACAATTTGGCCCTTCTCGGGCTCACACAAATGCTTACACTTGCCCATTTTTCTTGTTTCTAACACATCAACTTTGAGGAGAAAATATTCACTAGCTCCCTAATATATCTCACCCACTAACAGCTACCATGATGTAAGTGCATATGAGAGCATGAGGGTGGGGATGGATGTTTGTGTCTGTGTGTGCCTGTATGTCTGTGTCTATATGTCAGGTTGGGTATCAGATGCCACCTCTCTGGGGACATCTCAGGCCCTCCAAGGTTTGGAGGCCTATCTCCACCCACCACTTCCCCTGCCAGTGGCGGACTCCCTCAGGTGTTGGTGCGTTGGTGGTGCTTTGTGTCTGGGGGTGGGCGTCCGGGTACACACCGGCTCACTCCTTGGCGGCCGCTTATCGGGGCCTGGAGCCTGGGGCTCGCTCGGGCCACTTCGGAGGTGGGGTGCCCCCGGCCTCTCGGCCTGGGGCTCGGTCACTCAGGCACAGCTGGCTGCCGGCGGAGCTGCAACTCCCCCTGGCTTCTGCTCCGCGGCTGCTGAGTGAGCCCTCATCTGGGACTCTCCTCAGCTCTTACTGGGACAGTGGCGCGGCTGCCCCTCTGTTGGTCTTCCTTGGTCTCTTGTGTTCTGGGGACCTCTGGATGTCTGGAGTTTTGATCTCCTCCATACCTGCTTCATACCCTGGAGGACGGGGCTGTGGCTCCCCACACTCCCTAGCAGATCGTTACATGGAGAAACCTTTGGAATGCAAGCATGCTGATCCACACAGGTATGCACACAGGTGTACACACGGGTATTCACAGACGCGGACTACAGCTTTCTTGGCTGCTGCCTCAAAGCACATTGTGCGCTGTCTATCTTGCGTGCTGCACAATATCGTTTATTATTTAGTATCTACTGATATCTACTGCTAGCTAGTTTATTGTGATGGTGCCGTTTTTTTTATTATGTTGCTCTTTGTTGTTTGCTTTCTCTTCTGTTTTTTTTCTCCATACAGGTGACCCAGGTGTTTTGTTTTTTTTGTTTGTTTTTCTTTCTTTCTTCCCCCCCTTCTCACCGTCTCTTCTCCCCTTTGGTTTTCTTTCTCTCCCTCTCTTTCTTTCATTCTTTCTCCCTGTCCTATCCCCCAGTCATGTCTGTCCCGTTTGTAGCAACTGAAAATAAAATAAATTCATAATTATAATAAAGGTCAATCAAATAGACCAATATGGCAAGGCCATGATGATCCACTTGGTAAAATAAATCCGCTTGGCATCTTACTTGGCCTTTAGACAACAATTCTGATGGCTAAAGATCCAAACGGGACACAAAAAAACAAAACAAAAAAAAAAAACAGCTACCATGATGAAGAGATAATGAGTGTTATTCACTTCACCTGTCAGCAGCCACAATGTTGTGCCCGATCAGTGTATTTGAAATCTGGAGAACACCCAAGCCTTCCTTACAGCAAATTATCTTTGCTGCCACAGTGTGGCCTGAGTCTTTTTTATGTCACAGTGTTAAACAAAGCCTGCAAAGTTACTCCAACTATCAAATAAATGTTGTGTTTAGTCTATCAAGCCTACAAGTTCCTAAAAAAATGATTTTTTTTTCAGTAATGCGTTTTGTTTTGTTTTTTTTAGCCTGAATAATTTTATACTAGCAATGATTTTAATTAAATTTGAATTTCTTAGTCGTTCCCAGTGTTATTATGCGATGTGGACAATTACACCTACTTTTACATATACATGTGTCATCTAAGGGTATTCTCTCTGCACAATATCACAACTCTCTTGGTGTGATTCAGTGAATTTCAACTTGATTGCATTAACATTTCAACCTTGGAAATTGCCCACAGTTATATTTACATGCAATCTCATGTTCACATTTTAAAAGCAATCAGTGTAATTTTCAGGTCTTGTCACACAAAGGAGCATTAACGTACAGGAGCAGTGTAATATCTAATGCACAGAAATCACTGATTCATCTGCACTGAGAAAGAAAAAGAAATGTCCAAGAGGGTCGAGTACCACATTCTCAGCTGTAGACTTTTACAAGATAAATGATTAAAGGCAGAAAGAAAAATGAGACAGACAAAGCACATGTTCCTCATCTAAGAACATCTAGTGATGCTGTGGTAAAAAATAACCAGAATAAATCAGAAATTACTCAGGCACACAAGAGTCTTTTTACTAGAGCAAATGGTGTGATGCTTTTCCAGCCAAATTTATGACTGATGAAAATATGGAGACAAAACTCTGGTCCTTAAACAATAAAGTTCATGTTGACTGAAGATAAAAGTAAAGTATTTCTTGCCTGAAAATATAAGAATGCACTTTTAAATAATCATCATACATTGGGAATTTGTTTCTTTAATTAACACAATCTGAAACTTGACTAATAGTGACTTAATTTAAAAAGCTAATTTGATTTAATTTTTACAGCAAGCTTGAAAACAAAACTAATTTGTAGGTACTGTGGGGGTTTTTTGGGTGCCAATTTTGAAATGGTGTCACCACCTTAATTGGGTCCATTAATGTTTGGACAATGACTTTTTTTTTGTGATTTTGACTTTGTGCACCACCACAGCAGAACTTAAATGAACAAAAAAGCTGTGATTGAAGCACAGGCTTCCATCTATTATTCAAAACTAAATTATTACATACATTGTTAAGTGCTTACAACCATTTTGATACTTATGTCTTCATTTTCAGAGACTTGGAATTCAACAAGCTAACATCATTTTAAATATTATGACTTTTTAAAATATTTTACTTATATTTTTACTTGTATGTAAAATCTTGCAGTCAATGACTGCCGTAAGGCTAGAACGCCTCTAGTTCATGAAATGCTGTGTTTCCTCTCTTGAGATGCTCTTCCAGGCTACTGCAGCTGTCTTCAGTTTCTGCTTGTTTATTTGTATTTCTGTATTCAATTTTGCCTTCAGTAACAGAAAGGCTGCTCTACTACATTGAGATCAGGTGACTAACTTGGCCACTGAAGACTATCCATTTTCTTTACCTTGAGAAACTCCTGGGTTGCTTTGGTAGTATGCTTCATTATCCATTTGCACTGTGAAGGGCCAAAGAGTTTTGCAGCATATGGCTGAATTCAAGCAGAGTACAGCCCCATGCATTATGTGACTACTTCCATCAGAGGTAATATTATCAATAAACACTAGTGGCCTGAGGGGTTTACTGCACACTTACACAGCCAGGCTTTCTTTGCATTAGCTGGCCTGACTTAAAACCCCAGTTAGAAATAACAGATATTACATTGGTGGTTGTCAGCTTTCTCCACTAAGGCCAGCTTCCTGCCTTATGCTTTATGCATGTTCACTTCAAAGCTAAAAAAAAAAGGGCATTTCACAGGTCATATGACTTCTTTCCCACAAAAGTGATCCCTATGAGTGCCACCTACTCCAGTCACAGACAGATGATAAGGATGGTGATAAAATGGTAATTAAAACTCTATAAAGAACAGTGGCATGCTCAGCTGCAAGGGAGGGGTGGAGCAGTGGGTTCAGAGGACAGTGCTAGGGGAGGCTGGATATCAGCTCATTAATTCCATCATGTCTCCCCTATTTTATTTTTACAGCACTCTTCACCAAGTGGCACGGTGTGACTCAGGTCATATCTTCACAAGAACATAAAAAAACAAACAAACCCCAAAACAGAACAGTGAAATGCAACACTTACACGAATAAAGAGGTTAACACTACATTTTAGTTCAAGTTAATTATTTTTATTGCAGAGTGCCGCTGTTCTAAGGTGACAGCTGCACATTAGAGCTCCGAAACTTTAAACTGAAACATTTAAACATTCACATCTCCTGTCTAATATCTAATAAAGGAAAATGGGAATCACTTTAATTTGTTGGCAGATAAAAAAGTGAAATTAATTTTACTGCTTGAATAGGTACTCTTCATGAGAGTTCTGTGTTCTAATCGCTGCAATTCCAGCAGTGCAAGCGATACTTTAATCTACTGGTAACATTTATACATTTTATGCATCAGCAAATCAATACACAGGTATTCCTGTAACAATATGATGGACAGTTTGCGCTTTATTCAGTGGTTTTAGTAAAGTACAGCATTACCACTTGCAAAAATTATATTTCCCTGGCAGAGAATCAGTAAGTTATTACAGTGATCTAGGCAGGTAAAAAGGCAGGTAAAAAGACACTTCAGAACACTGACTTTAACCTGAGCTCTAACCTATTAATCTTGCATTATAGTACATTCCTCTGGTTCCAATTCCTCTGGTTCTCGAGCAGGTCTATGTACCTGGTCTTGACTTGGCTAGATACTGAAAAAGTTTTCTCCTAACCAATTCTGCAATCATCCACTAGTGTTGAGCACTTGAAAAGAAGGTAACCGGATTTCTTTCGGTAAAAAGAGGTCCAACACTCAAAGACAAGGTCTCAAGACTACCATGACGTGGATGGCTGAGAACCTAAACAGATATCATAAGATGTGAACAATGGATATAAAATAATACAGCTTGAGTGAAGCAACTGGAGGGACACTTGACTGTGATTAGTTGTTTGGATAGTTTGGATCCCACATAAGAACTGATCCAGTCTAGAACTAACAATTTCAGAAATGATCTGCAAAATAGTGACATCTTTACAGGGACCCGTTTGACTTCAACGGGTTAATGGGTGGAGCACAGGATTTTGGATGAGGTGAGCAGGGCAGTCTTTTGAGGCTTATGAGATTAGTAACTATAATAGCTCCCAGAGTGATGGCCATTAGGATGGGTTAGTGCTGCAGCCGTACCATCCTCATAAATAAACAACAGACTTTTATAAAGTATCACAATCACTTGTTAAATTAGGATGCTTTGAAATTAATGAACAACTGAGAAATTGAATTGATATGTTGTGGATCATACCATGACAGTGATGTCATCATATCCAAAAGCAATAGAAATTCAGTTTGCAACTGGAAATTTAGGCTTATCAGAAAAATTGTATCCACAAAAAGCAAGAAGAGGGCTTAGTTTGACTTAAGCTGATTAAAAAGAAAAGTGAAAATTGTTTACATTTGACCTCAGAATTGTGTAATTGTCTTTATTTATGAAGTAATTTAAACAAAATCAAACCAGATGATCTGTTCTATATGGGGTAAATATGGTTTACATGTTTTTGGCATATTTATTTACAGTCATCTTGTTCATGTTGCTATAGTGCCACTGAATGAAAAGACAATATAAAGCCTTACATAGCATGTTTCATGACTGTAAAGCCAGTAGATACTCACAGTTAAACAAGCAAATGACGCAAGTGGCCATAAAGCTAGTATCTTTATATCAGAAAATTTAAAACATCCTCTGAACTAAAAGCAAAATGGAAACACTCAACCTACAACTATGTACCAGTATGCTTAGTTATTCAGCTTTTTTCTCTCATTTTCTGCTAAAACAGATCAAGATGACTTTTTAAAAACATAATTAATGATTAACTATAGTGGTTGAGGCACTGGACTGTGACCCAGGAGTGAAATTCAAAGGTGTTATCAGCACGAAAGAACCACAGTAGGTATGTGAGGCCATTTGTATGATACAAGAGCGACTGAGGTACTGTGGTAACATTAAAATATATAAATAAATAGCTTCTACTACTGCCACTATTACTTCTACTACAGGTTACTGGTTATTGTCATGGTGTAGTAAGTGTTATGGGTGAGGTGGAAAAATATAATAAATCATCCTTATCTATATACAAGCCACTACAGGACATGGTGTTGGGATAATACAAAAAAGCTATGGTCAAATCTGGATTCATTTTACATTTACAGTCGTTGTCAGAAATTTATGTACACTTATCATGGGTGTGATTATCCTGGTAATTCTGGGCTTTTAATTATTTATTTGAACTTTATTTACTTTTGGCGGAATTATTGTACGCCACACTTCACAGAGGTAGTAAGTAAAATCTCACCACCAGATGTCAGCAGATTTGAGACTGCAGTCAACTGAATTCTGTTTTCTTACCACTTCCAATTCAAGTGCATAAATCCAGGTACAGTGGACACTGTAGGACAAATAACTCCACGTTTATTTACTCTGGAGAAGGTTTTAAAACTTTGTGAACTGAGTCAACGAGTCAGTGACTCTCACTTCTATCCAATGACAGTGATACTGAGGTGAGGTGTTGAGGATCTCTTGAACTCCTCTGTTGGTGAGGACTGCTGTTTTTGCCAGGGAAACTAACTGAATTAATTGTGATATGATGCGAGAATGTAATCAAACTGTTTATCAGGGAGAAAGTGTGATTTTTAGGACACTCAAGCCTCATAGTATCTAGCATAAGGTTAACAAGCTGTTGTTGCAGTTTGGTTGGCTTGTTGTCAGCTGTGCACAGGACAGTAGCAAGTCTAATCTGCTGACAAAAACTAATGGCGACAATTTGGGGAATAAATAAAAAAAAATGTTTATGCACATTTTTTGTGTGTTACAACCCTGACTTCAGTTCAGGAGATGAGAGTTGATGTAAAGAGGAATAGGATGGGGTGGAAATGAGAGAAGTGGTGGAGGATACAGATGAAGAGGAGGAGGAAAATTACAGACTGAGAAAGATGCAAAAATGTTAAATACTCATAAATTGTTTTAAAGAGTAAAATATGATCTTTACATTAAATGTAACGTAGAGGCATGCAGCCAGTCTTTAGACACATGAATAAAACGTGATTAGGCAGAACAGCAGTGTTCATCTTGGCCACTGTATTCCAGATGGCAGGGCAATATGGTGGCTTACAGGAACCAGCACCCACTCCTACGCATCTTTAATAGATTAATTCGAAGTTCATGAGAATGCATTAAGTTGTTGAAAGATGTAATCACACAGCAATAAATCTATATTTATGAGCAAAACCTTTTTTCTATAAT